TTAGGGAAGCGGGAGGAGGGATTGGGGCACCGAGCTCTGACCTCCCCCTCTTTTTGGCGACAGGTTTTTGGTAACAATATCCCCTTTTCACTTTGAGTCCAGCAAGCAGCGAGTCCCCTCCGTGTCCCGCTGTCACCTCTGTCCCCTCCCAGCAGCCGGGCCCGGCCTCTCCACCAAAACACTGCAGCTGGATGGAGGGGGACTCTGATTTTGGGGTTGTAATGTTCCAAAACTCAGATTTCTGCTCTTTTATTTTTTTACCCCTTCTTTGCTCCCCGCAGGTCCCCGACCTTCGCAGGTGGCCTCTTTGCCATCTCCAGGTCCTACTTCGAGCACATCGGCTCCTACGACGACCAGATGGAGATTTGGGGGGGTGAGAACGTGGAAATGTCCTTCAGGGTAAGGATGGGGGGTCGCCTTCCAAGGCACCTCCAGGGAGTTCCCTGTCGGGGGGCCCGGGGGCCGGACCCCCCCACCTCAGGTGTGGCTTCCCCGCAGGTGTGGCAGTGCGGGGGACAGGTCGAGATCATCCCCTGCTCCGTCGTGGGCCACGTGTTCCGCTCCAAGAGCCCCCACACCTTCCCCAAGGGCACCCAGGTGATCTCCCGGAACCAGGTGCGCCTGGCCGAGGTGTGGATGGACGATTACAAGGAGATCTTCTACCGCCGGAACCAGCAAGCCTCGCAGATGGCCAGAGAGGTACTGGGCACGCTGGGAGGACTGGTCCTCCTGGGAGCTCCGCCTGAGCAGGGGGAGAGGGGGGAAACCACACGCAGGTGGACAGAAGTACAAAAAGCTTTGAGTTTTGCTTTCCCTCTCTGGCCAGAATGTTTCCTACTAGGAAAACGTCGGGGTTTATGATTTTTTTTTTTTCCCTACAACATCAAAACTTTGTGCCAAAATATCTCCGGGCTCTTGGGGGAGCCTGTGGGTACCTGCCAGGTGACTCCCCCACACTTGTGGGGTCACCTGTGGGACTCGGTGGTGGTCACACCATGAGGATGATGACAAAGCTGGGGTGACTCCCAGCTCGGAAAGGGGTTTTTGGGGGTCTTCCCTGCTGTTTTCTGAAGTGAGTTCCATTTTCTCCCGACCATAGAAGACGTTTGGTGACATCAGCGAGCGTCGCAGGCTGCGGGAGCGGCTGCACTGCAGGAATTTCACCTGGTACCTGCAGAACGTCTACCCCGAGATGTTCGTGCCCGACCTGACCCCGACCTTCTACGGAGCGGTGAGTGCCGGGATGGCCGGAGCGCCCGGGGGCTTGGGCTGGGAACAGCAACGAGGAGAAGAGCCCGAAGGTTGGGCTTGGGGGTTTTGCATTAAACCGGGGAGGGGAGGGGTTAGCGCTGCCACATTTGTCACCGCTCACAGTGTCTGTCTGTCACCTCACCTGTCACCGCTTTGGACTCCGGCTAAGCTGGAATCCGGCAGAGCGGGTTTGGGGTGAGCTCCAGAATAGGGAACCCGCGGCAACGTGGATTTGGGTTAAACTCGGGGGAAGGGCCCAAAAGTTCTCTGAGCCCCAAACACCGTCCTGGCGCAGGGAGGGCTGGAAAAACTTGAGCTGGGGATGGGACGTGGAGCTCCAGCTTCATCCCGAAGGAATCTGGGGACGGGCGGGATGCAGGACCCCATCTGCAGCCACAGGGAAGGGGGGGACAGGCAGGGTGTGGAGGGCTGGCTCCGTCCCCGAGGGAGCTGCGGACAGCAGGACACGGAGCTCAGTCCCCGAGGGACAGGACACGCAGGGTGAGGGGCTCCGGCCCCATCCCTGAGGAAATCGGGACAGGCAGGATGGGAACTCCGGCCCCATCCCTGTGGATGGAGCTGCTGCAAAAGGCCTTTTCCCCAGGCTGGGAGTTGCTGGATCCTGAGCCTGCCCCTCCTCAGCCAGGGTGATGTGACAGCAGCAGGCACGGCCGGGTGACAGCCGGGCCGGGTGCCGGGTGCTGGATCCCATCCAGCTTTTTTCTTTCATCTTCATTTCCTGAAACTCAGCCCGGGAGGCTTTCCTTTGGCTCCGGGAGGCGATGGCTCGGGCGTTCCTCGTGTCCTGGAAAGAACACGGGACCCGGACCCGGCGCTGCGGGGGGGGGATCGTGTTTACAGAGCCATAACCCAAGAGCCCTGCATAGCCAAACCAGAGTGCTACGCTGGCTCCTCTGAGACCTTTTTTCCTCCACTCTCCCCACCTTTTTTCTCACTCCTGCCCCGTCTCATTTCCCCCCCTCTCCCCTCCTCACCCCCTTTCGCCTTTCCCCTTCCTTTTCCCCTCTTCTCCCCTTTCTTTTCTCTCCCTCGTTTTTCTCCCCGCTCTTTTTCCCAACACTTCTCTTTCCCCCACGCCACAGATAAAAAATGAGGGCACCAAGAGCTGCCTGGACGTCGGGGAGAACAACCACGGTGGGAAACCTCTCATCATGTACCCCTGCCACGGGCTGGGGGGCAACCAGGTGGGCCCCCAAACCACCCCCATCATTTCCCCATCATCTCCCCGGGGATCAGCTCCCTGGGCGCGGCAGTGACGGCCCCGCTTGGCTCTTCCCGCAGTACTTCGAGTACACGAGCCAGCGGGAGCTGCGCCACAACATCGGCAAGGAGCTGTGCCTGCGGGCGGGCGCGGGCACGGCCGAGCTGGGCGAGTGCCAGTTCCGAGGGAAGCCCGGCCGGGTGCCCGCCAGCGAGGAGTGGGACCTGGCACAGGTGAGGAGACCCCTCCGTGCCGGGAATTGCCCCTGGGCACGGTGCCCGCCGCGGTGCTGCTCCCCCGGCCCTGTTTCCCCTCGGGCACATCCCGTGCTCACCCTCGGCCGCTCATTGATCCTTTGGGTCATTTCTCGGCAGAATCGGCTGATCAAGAACTTGGCCTCGGGGCTGTGTCTGACGGCCCGGGGGAAGCACCCGGCGCTCGTTCCCTGCGACCTCACGGACCCGCACCAGCTCTGGTCCTTCACCTAAAGCGGAGCGGAGCCCCCGGCCTGCCCCGGCCACGCTCAGGAAACCAGGATCCAAAAAAACTTCCTTGTTCGCTTTAATTTAAGACGTGAAAGCCTTAAATATGCTGCATTTCGTGGTTGCCTCGAACTGAACTTCGTATTTTGAGAGCCGGGCTCTGCCCTCACCCCGCGGACCCCGAAACGCAGCCCTGGTGGCGGGGACGCTCCTGCGGATGCTCCTCGGCAGCCGCTGCTCGTCCTCCTCACCCCGGCTCCAGCCAGAGACTCTTCAGTTCACATCGGGCGTTACAAACGTGGATGCGCCTCCCCACATGCGGAATCTGGACGGGAAATTCCGGCGAGGAGGAGGATGGTGACCGTGGGCTCCTCCCGTCGAGGGGGGATCGTGGCTTGCGGTGGCCCCTGGCGGGCAATGGGAGAAGTTGGGATCTGTGCCTTAGGAATCAAGTCGGATTTGGAGGGGGGAGGAAGCTGGATTTTTGGTTTTATTATTGTTATTATTAAATGATAATGATTCGTGGGTGCGATTCTGCTTGTGCTGAGCAGGAAAAGTTTTCCCAGGGTGGCACCACAGAATCTTTCTGAAGAAGGTTCCAGGTGTTCCAGATTCTTTGTCTATGCCAACTCCTGTAGCTGCCATTTTTGTTGCCGTTTCATTCATAGTGGGGGGGAAATCTTCCTGGACATGACGGGAGAGGGGAGAAACTGTCCTGGACACACAACCTCAAATAAAGAGATGATTTATTTTAGACAAATCCTGTCTCTGGACCTTCTGAGCTCCCCACACCCACTTTATATCCCACCTTCTTATGGTTCTAGAAATTCCCTTTTTAGTCCAAAACTGAGTTTA